ACCACTACTACCACTACTGCTACAAGCGCTAGTATCGATGCACTGCTCTCACCTCGATATGATGGAGTCCGCGTGCTGCGCGCCCGCCTGCCCCGCCCAGCCTCCCGTCGCCATCGTCGGCGTCTCCTCCTCGTCGACGCCATTCGTCATCGTCTTGTCCTCCGAGCTCTGATTGGACAGCGTGTTGAGGCTGTCGAGAACCGACGACGACGACTGCGAGATGGCGCCGGGCAGCGCGCAGCACAGCAGCGCCAGCTCGACGCTCGGCGCCACCGTCAGCGCGACGAACGACGACGGCTGCGGTGGCGCCCCCCCGGGGGCGGCGGCGGGGAGGAGGGCGCGCGTGTCGGCCTCGACGTGCTCTATCAGCGTGCGGAGGGAGTCGAGGAGACGCAGCGCCATCACGTACTGGTAGTGCGTCACCTGCAGAGAGAACGCAGGGAGTTACTCGTATACATGTTTGTTAATTACGTACCTGTTTGTTAATTATGCACCTGTTTGTTAATTATGTACCTATTTGTTAATTATGTACCTATTTGTTATTTACATACGTGTTTTTATATTTATATACTTGTCTGTTATTTACGTACCTGTTTGTTATTCACATACGTGTTTTTATATTTAAATACTTGTTTGTTATTTATGTACCTGTTTGTTATTTACATACTTGTTTGTTATTTATGTACACGTGTTTGTTATTTACATATGTTTATAGCTACAGTGATGTATCGTGGGTAATATGAGATATCATGTGACATGCACGCACCTGCGCGTAGATCTTCGTCATGACGTGAGCGAGGCAGTAAACGTCGCGCGGCGCCGCCGGCGCTGCAGGGGGCGCCACCGTCACGCGCAGCAGCTCGTCGAAGTTCCCCTCGTCGAGCGAGTGGTACTGCTTCGTCAGCTTACGCCGCTCACCGCCGCGCCCCCTGGTGGTGGCGAGCGAGTCGAGGCAGGGCGAGCGACGGACGCTGGGCGGCGGCGGTGGCGCGCTCTGGTGGAGCCACAGCGTGACGGGGAAGGCTTCTACGAGGGAGACGGGCCGGCCCTTCCAGCTCTCCGCTCCGATGCACTCGATCCAGAACTGATCCATCGTGACGCACCACATGTCGTCGTCGGCCGGCGTCGCGAACATGTTGTGGCTCAGCGCCACCTAGTGACGACGGCGACAAACGCTGCATCACACACAAATACTACGCTCGACGGTTAAACACGCGCACTGATAATAATGGTTATTATATATATATATATATATATATAAAGATTGAATTATATATTTTTCTATATATAATTATATATTAATTAATTTAATATACCGAACTGGTTTCATCAGGAGTTCCGTAATTAACACAATTAACTGCTAATTAAGTTACTACTGATATTATTAACATAATTAAATAGATAATAACATTCAAGATGACAGCCGACAAGTAACGATGAGAATTCAGCGACGATGCAGTGCTATCAATGTAACCTGCTTTCTTTCATTTGCTACGACCCTTCCTTCTTCTCTTTCTCCTCCTCCTCCTCCTCACTCTTCCCCCTTCTTCTCTTTCTCCTCCTCCTCCTACTCCCTCTTCCCCCTTCTTCTCTTCCTCCTCCTCCTCCTTCTTCCCCCTTCTGCTCCTCCTACTCCCTCTTCCCCCTTCTTCTCGTCCTCCTCCCTCCTCCTTCTCGTCCACCCTCTTCCTCCTCTCTCCTCCTTCTGCTGCTTACCTTCCCCCACCGACGACCGCTTCTTACCTCTTTGGGTTTCTGGCCGGGAATCTCGGGCAGCCTCCTCCTGGGTGCTCCGGGACTGCTTCCTGGACTGCTGCGGGGGGAGGAGCTGTCCAGGCTTCCTGTCTTGACTAGAGTGGGCTTCCGCGGCCGCTCAAAGTTACGTCCTGCGAGCGAGGAGCGAGAGGTTAGGTGTAGGAGTAGAGAGTAGTTAGGTGTAGTAGTGTAGGTAGAGAGGTTAGGTGTAGTAGTGTAGGTAGAGAGGTTAGGTGTAGTAGTGTAGGTAGAGAGGTTAGGTGTAGTAGTGTAGGTAGAGAGGTTAGGTGTAGTAGTGTAGGGAGAGAGGTTAGGCGCGCGTGCA